ACATTGGACGGCGGCAGAGACGACGACAGAGGAGGGAGGAGGGCTCCTCGTCGTCGGCAGGCGGCGGCGGCGGCAGCGGCGGCGGCGGCGGCGGCGGCGGCGGCGGCGGCGGCGGCGGAGGCGGCGGCGGCGGCGGAAGCGGCGGCGGTGGCGGCAGTTGGGGAAGAGCCTTCTCGGCGGCCTTCTCGGCAGCCTTGGCAACCTTCCCGGCGGCTTGGGCAGCAGCGGCGGCCGCCTGCAGCTCGTCGGGTTCGTCGTCGAGCAGCTCGAGCTCCAGCTCGAACACCTCTGCGAAGAGCGACGTCTCGACCGCGTCGAGCGCCCGCTTGTGGTCGCCTAGTACCATGCCCTCCAGCGTCTCGAACCCAGTGTGGGTTCGGTCCCGTGGCTGTAGGGTGAGCTTGTGGTCGCCGACGTGGTCCGCGAGATTGAGCTGGTGCTCGCGGTACCTCAGGCAAACGAGGTCAGGTAAGGTACACGTCTCCACACACACACGAGGTGGTGGGGCAAGGGCCAGGCTGGTCCCTCGCGACTCCACGTCTAGACGACAGGAGCCGGCACGGCATTGAAAGTGCAAGGCCCGGTGCGCGTGGGTGAGCGGTGCACCTCAGGCACGTCCGTACCTCGGGCCTGAGTGAGGCGCCATCGCTCGCCCACCACTCGCGGAAGGGCTTGGCGGCGTAGCAGAGCGCGAGGAAGGGCCTACACGCGTGTCTTGTCGAGAGAGTTGGACTACCAGGAGAGTTGGACTACCAGGAGAGTTGGACTACCAGGAGAGTTGGACTACCAGGAGAGTTGGACTACCAGGAGAGTTGGACTACCAGGAGAGTTGGACTACCAGGAGAGTTGGACTACCAGGAGAGTTGGACTACCAGGAGAGTTGGACTACCAGGAGAGTTGGACTACCAGGAGAGTTGGACTACCAGGAGAGTTGGACTACCAGGAGAGTTGGACTACCAGGAGAGTTGGACTACCAGGAGAGTTGGACTACCAGGAGAGTTGGACTACCAGGAGAGTTGGACTACCAGGAGAGTTGGACTACCAGGAGAGTTGGACTACCAGGAGAGTTGGACTACCAGGAGAGTTGGACTACCAGGAGAGTTGGACTACCAGGAGAGTTGGACTACCAGGAGAGTTGGACTACCAGGAGAGTTGGACTACCAGGAGAGTTGGACTACCAGGAGAGTTGGACTACCAGGAGAGTTGGACTACCAGGAGAGTTGGACTACCAGGAGAGTTGGACTACCAGGAGAGTTGGACTACCAGGAGAGTTGGACTACCAGGAGAGTTGGACTACCAGGAGAGTTGGACTACCAGGAGAGTTGGACTACCAGGAGAGTTGGACTACCAGGAGAGTTGGACTACCAGGAGAGTTGGACTACCAGGAGAGTTGGACTACCAGGAGAGTTGGACTACCAGGAGAGTTGGACTACCAGGAGAGTTGGAC